ACACTTGATTTACTAGACAATATTCAAACAATTGTCTTGTAAATTAAGACTGTTACTTGTGTGTTAGAAACCATAACGTTTTATGAATAGATTATACAAATACGTAGTACACCTGTTTAGAATATTTCTACTCTGTTCACTTATTGATAGAATAATTAGTAAAATAATTTTTGGTTTTAGCTATACTTCTTATTACTGTTATTCACTTTGTTATTTTTAAAAGAGGCACGAAACGTAAGATTCATAGTATCTTATACAAAGGTATACAACACGTTAATCTGTTCTCGTCACAAAAAACGCATTATCCAAAATAGAGGTCAAAAAGAAAATGAAAATAGTTTATCGCGCTTATATTATTTGAATATTTCCTATAAATGTTTCGAAATTTCGATATTTCTAAACTGTGGTAGTCAGAGAAGGATTTGCCTTGAAATTTTATTTCTTGTAAGAATTATTTCTTCGTTCGACAGAGCTATAGTTTTCCGTATTACTTTCTACGTTTCAATACGTCACCGATCTAATCTAATCACAAGTGTCTTAAAGATCAACCAATACATTCACGATATAAGGTGAAATATCTTAATTCTTAATTCGATTTTTGCCTCTCCTACTGATCTTGCGGAAGAAAAGTAATACCTTCACATTTATTACCTATTTTTATACCTATTAATTTAGACCATAGGTTCCCAACTTTTGACATGTATATATATTTTTTTTTTCAAACAATGATTCGACGACGCCTCTTTTAGGTGAAATATACTATATTACTACATTCTACATATATTTAAAAACAAGGCCCGGATTTTATTAAAATTACTTTATTGAAAGTTATCAACATGTTGATGTATTGTTTAAAATTTGATAAACAAATATATATTATTAAAAAAATTAATATAATATTATTAGTGAGAAGGCTGAGCTTGATGTAACGTGTTGGACTTTTTACTTGGTTTGGGATGAGGAATGATTTCCTTTGGTACCACAAATCACAGAACAACTTATCTGCATGAGTTGATATAATATATTTGCAGGACAATATTCTCAACGAACAATTGAACTTGAAAACAAAAACTCTGACGCGCCAATTAACCGCGAGATTCAACATAACGACAATAATTTTTCGATATTAAATCGCCGCGTTCCATTATTGACAATCTGTTTCCTTTCTTTGTTGCTAAATTGTTGATTACACTGACATTTACAACATTTGTTGAACATTGAAGATATTTGTTAAAACATGCGTTCGAAGATTTTTAGTACACATTAATCAAACTTTTGTCGCGTTCTTGCGAGTATTGCCCAAGGGGCGGTAGTTGGTCCTCAGCGCCCCCAAAAATTTGTCTTCGACCAAAAGCGCCCCCTTAGATTTCTTCAACGCCCACCAGTGGGCGGTACCGACCCCGTTGGGAACCTCTGATTTAAACCCATGTCTAGAAAATTTTGTAATGCTTTGGACAGTCTCCTTTGTTAATCTTGTACAGCGAAAGCAATACCCTTATACGCGGTAATTTTGACTCTGTTTCAGCGAAAGCTTGTCACGTCTGTTGGTCCCTCGCCGTGAGTGTGGACGAGCAATCGTTCGAGGGAATTATTCAATGTTATCGTTATCATAAATTCGAGGGGCGCCCTATTCTCGCCCGCGCGCGCCACCCTTGGAATGATCCTGATAAATTATCGAGCGTAGGGTAGGGTTGCACCTGCAGTGCCGTCGGCTGCGCTTAAATTTTCATACCAGCCGCAGACCAACCCCGTAAATCCGATTCTAAAAACGTTTCCTGATGGATCTATCGAGCAGCTATCGTTTCTCTATCGTCCCAATTCGCGCGCGAGACGTTCGTCAACCTGTTGTGATTTTTGTTATCTTCCGCATTTCCAACTGACCTTCTGTTCTCGATAATACGAACGGAAACACACGTACAGACGCTATATATTACAGACAGCGACGCCGCAATCTTTCTAATTGCCATTGTGGAAATATTTCGTTCGGGTCCTCTACGCTGGGTAATGTTTTATTCATGGGCAACAATCTCGTTCATTGGGAAGTTAATTATCTGACGTTCAAAGCAATGCGCTACTTTGTTATCGTTATAAAATAAATTGTCTTAAGGGGTTAGTCGCAGTCAGGAAGAGGATAGCGACATTTCCTTGTGATTTTTTTTTAGTTATTAAATAATAATTTGCATAAGTAACAACTAAGTATATTATAAAGCATGTTTTAGAGACCTAAAAAACATTATTTGTTTTAAGAAACGTTTAATTTATATCGTCATAACAGCCGATGACGTAGACGATGATTTAAAAACATAGATTTGCGGTGAGCAAGATTTCTCTACACTTATTTACCTGGAAACAAAAACAAAGGTAGATTTCGAAAATAGATTAGTCTAGCGGGTCCTTGAACGAAGGATTTTGGAAAAAATTAATTTAGAACAAGATGGCGTACATTTGAAGTTGATTTTCAATTTTGTCACTAAAATTAAGCGATTCAATACAGGATGAAAAAGAAAGTATACAAGAAAATAAAAAATACTTCGATCAGGGACCCGTTAGTCTAATATGTTTTCTAAATCTACCTTTAGTTTTGTTTTCAGGTGCACCAGTTTGAGGAAATCTTGATCACCACAAATCAAGTAGCCACCCACGCCATCGCCTGTTATGACGAAATGAATTAACCTTTTTTTAAAACAAAAATTCTTTTATAGTTCTTTAAGACATACTTTGTAATATATTTACATTTCATTCAGAAAAATTATTATTTAATACTCTAAAAGAAACACACAAGAAACTGTCCGTTTCCATTTTCCTGACTGTGACTAACCCCTTAAGTGTTCAGTGACGTAATTCTTGAAAAGACCACTTATGTCTCAAGGAAATGTTTACGAAATAAGATAAACAAATGTAATTACTAGTCATGAACAATCCAGCTTTGAAAAATAATTTGAACCATTATTGCTTCACTGTCAGGAAATAAATTCATTTACACGTCGATAAATATAATCGACATATCTACATGTACTTGTCTATTCACTCTGCATTTCGAATAACAGAAATGAACGCAAATCTGGGCTGATTTGAATAATTTCCATTCCACGATTGAATGGTTAGAAATTCAGTTGGCGACGAGTAGAAATGAAAATAATATGGAAAGCGATAGCTGTGCTGAATAAAGAGACCATTTTTACAAAGATAACATTTCAGAAGAGAAACCAGCACTGATTATCACATTTTAATTGGGATGCTTTATTACGAACGAATTGCTGAACCTGATGCTCGTATCGTCAAAATCTCGATGCATATATACCAAATATTCGAGCAACATAAATGGGAGAAATTATTTTCGTTTCTCTCTCAGTTTATTTTTTCGATGTCGAAGGTATTTAAAAAACTATACATGCATTTAAATAATTCACTTTTCAACTGAATCATCTTCTTGATCAAAATATTTAAGTAAGTAAGTTGTATTTTTAAAATTCAAATGCTATTACAGAAATGGTTGTGTATTTTATTGATACCAGTAAGGATTTTCACCGTTTCCGGCTGTTTAGGAAAATGGTCATGCAGTATTCACGATAAATGTGGAAATCCACCTGCATCCCTTTGCACCCGTTTGAACATCTCACAAAAATCTCGCATCCATAGTCGAAGAAAAATACTCCTATGCATGATATATAACGCAGGTATCAACAACGCCATTGTAAAGTACAACGAAAAATACAAATGTCTTCGATTTGGCGCGTCGGCTTACTGCGAAATAGCTTCAGCAAAATAATTTGTTACATCTAATATTCTTTTCACATTAGAAAGTAATAATAAATGTAAATTGTTTGACACGATTAAACTAAAGTTCGACTATGTTTTGCCTAAAATTCAATGGTCCTTCTGCATGTCATACTTTTTTTCTCATGATAAGACGTACTTTCCAATGATAGGAATTCATTGTTGCATTTATTCAATCATACCAATTTCAAACTTTCAGTCCACCAACGAATGCATACAAATTCCTAATATTCTCTGAAACAAATAATTTTCAATTTATCATTCGCATGAATTTATGCTTTCAATATTTTCTAAAATTGTACGTTGATCTTTGATATACATAATATAATGTTATAATTCAACAGTCTCCTTAAATGCACAAGTTTCTCTACGATAAATGAACAGTAACATGATCCGGGATCGGATATCTCGATGACACAATGCTGATGCAACTATCAAACTTGGCTGGGACACCCTGTATATTTGATTATATAATAAACTTTTTATTATTATTCAAACATTTAATCCGCAAACGTATCTATAAATATTTTAAACATTTCGTGGTACTAGCTCAAAGAGAACTATTATATTCGCTATGAGCAAATAAAAATTCCTTTCCTTCTGCCTAAATAAATTACTTCGTAATATTCACGGGATGGTTAAGCAAAGAGAGGAATTATGCGTATCTGACGTTCATTTCCTTTCGAGAATGAAGCAAATGAGAAAAAAACGCAGAGAGTAACAGCAGCAAATTTCGGCAGTAAACATTCGAGATAACCTCAACGGTTGGCCATGCGAAATGACTTTTGCTGGATAACTACGTAGTAGAAAGTTTCTCAAAAAGGTTTCCATTAGGTAGTACACCTCACGGAGATTGGACTGCATCTTTTACGATCGACTCGTGAATATCTTAAATCCTGCAGCTGCAGCGTACTACCCGAAGACGTTTCTTAAATCACACGCAAACGAACTAAGACAATTCTATATAGCATTACCTCGTGAAATCAATATTTCCTTCAGACGCTTCGCTTTGGCTGTGTTTTCCACGATTACAACTACAAAATAGTGCAATGGTAGGGAATAAAATTGAAAACGATGCTTTGTGAGGTGAAGAAACAAATTAAAAACAGAAATAATCGGGAGAAACATTATTTTTTCGAATAATATAGGTTTCTGTGATGTACAGGGTGTTTCTTAGCCCTTTGACTCCGGACGATTTATGCTGGAAATTGTAAGAGGCGTAGAGGTGTGAATATTAAACAAAATATCACCTTATAGAGAATGACAAAACGAAACTTTTTTATATTGACAGCTCATTCATAGGACGTTTAATTTCAGAGTTAAACATTGAAAACTTAGAAGACCTTTCTCCTTAAAATTCAATTTTTGCATATCAAACTTTAAAACTTCTGCATGCCAAAATTTTTAGAATTATTAGTTATTAAGGAATTATTGAGACTTATAATTCACTTATTTCGATTATTAAAGATAAACGTGCTTTTCGTCCCTAATGTGTTAGTTGGGCTCATCAGCAAAGCTTTTCTGGCAAATACAGCCTTGCACGTGACCCTATTAATAGTTCGAACAGTTTCCAATTACTCGGCAGTAATTGGCTGGTGGCAGAGATGAACAAAATTTTATCGGAATAATAGATGACAAATACAACTAACAGTTTAACAACTAGCATTTTATTTTTAGTGTAATTTTCAAAAGCACAAGAGCTGACTGTTCTTTAGGAAATTAATTCACCAGATAATTAAACTGTTACTAATTAGTTAAAATTAGCAAATTCTGTATTCGAATTAGTCGTCGTCCATATTCATCGCGTTTATATCTCCATCAACTTTCAAGTTGGGCTGTTCGAATCCCATTAAAAAAAAATAAATTTTGATTATTGTCAGACACACAACACCAATTATAGTGTCAACTTTTTCCGCCAGACAGTAATGGTAGTACCTAAATCTATTAAAATAATACTTCAGGGTGTTCCTTGGCGCCTGTTGCACTTTTTTCTCATCCTGCGGTACAGCTGTTGAATGTTCCACGTCTGTGCTTTGCCAACGTTCGTTTCCTGCCAACAAAATCGATCGCTATGAAATGATAACTACAAAAATTAGAAAGAATAAAGAGGAACTTACGCCGCTTACGTATTTCCTCCATAATTAGGCTTTTTATAGTTACTGTGCAGAGTCAAGGACGCAAGTGATTATTCTGTAACACGTATTTAACATCTAAATCAACACTGTGAGTTACACGATGGCTGTTATTGATACTAATTGGATTCTAACTACATATATACAACAGTAATTCTACATGTTCATGTATCGAAATCTGATACACTTCAGTTTATGTATTCAAAATACACGGCTTTCTTCTGTTTGCAACTTAATTTTTAAAATTGCAAAAGTACAATTTATCTTTTTTTTTTTGGTAAATTACTTTGACAGTATTTTTTCCTTTATATGTAGTTTCGATTTACACTTTGATCCCTCGAATTACCACGTACAGAGAAGTACTTCATGTCTCCCCATATTATTTATAGAGTTCCATCACGTACTTAACTCTTTGACTGCGGAGGACGTATATATACGCCCTAGAGAAATAGGCTCAGAAAAATGTTCATGTTCGCTAAATCAATTTTAAGAAAATATCAGCTTATAGGGGGTGGTGAGACGAAACTTTTTCATATTTACAGTTTATTCATAGGATGCTGAGTTTCGAAAATAAAAATTGAAAAGTTAGAAGTTCGTTGCAAAAATTGAATTTCAAAGAATTAAATATAAAAAATTTTCGTTTTGTCATTTCCTATAAGCTGATATTTTCTTTTAATTAACACCTCTACGCCTCCTAGAATTTCCAGCAAAAATCGTCCCACGGTTAAAGGGTTAAAAATGTAGTTCAACGAAAATTTGTAAATGATCGCCAATTTACCGAATACATTCATTTGCTGTGTAATTTACCGTTAAAATTTAGCCAATGAAAAGAAATAAAGACAAATCGTATAGTAATTTCAAATGTCATTTTGTAATTTTCCTGGATATGGAAGAATAATCTCAAAAAGATATCTATTCTTACAAAGTCTGAACAACGTGCACTTGAGAACGGCGTTCATACATATATCCTCTCCATTTTAAATCGCCTGGCGGCTTTCTTATAACTTCCTTCGAAACGGCCAGTTGTTGAGAAACTTCAACGGGGTCAACAAGATAGATAACTAAAGTTTTCTATGAATATATCTAAATGAAACTTTCAATATTATTTCCAAATACACTCTCGTCATTACCCATATTAGAATGATTAATGTATGGGAGCCAGCGGAGTCATTAGCGCCCGAAACTTCCACGAGATCACCCGAAGACTGACAATCTGCATATTTATAATTATGTTTATTTATGGTAATTCTTTTCGAAGTCCAAATTTCAAAGTGATTCACGTGGCGAGAATATCTTTTAAATCTCATTATCGACTCTGACACGCTCTCGAATGTGAAATTTTAGAAATTAATTAATTTTCACATCTTTATATTGACTTAATTAATTACTACGTCATCACATAAGAAAATTAGACAAACGGAATTAATTTATTAAGGTAATATTCTGTATTTCCATAAAATATAAAAGTTCATCGATTGTCACATTCACATTGTTATAATTAATTACTTTATCGATACCTGATGATACTATGAATTAAAATTACTAAAGTCATGTTCTATATTTGCATTAAACATACAAATTGTACAATTCACACGTTCACATACAGATTTATATTATATAACTTTATTATTGCCTAATCACAATGATGAAATTGATCCTTTATATCCCCAAGTTTGTTTACTGTTGTAATCTTCAACAAATATCTCAAGAAATTAGAAATTACTCTTTAACGTCCTTATGATGTTACCCGCGAAGGTGTAAAGTCAAATTAAAAGGAATTATAGCTCTCCCTCGCACCACTTCGAAGTAATTTGAGAGTGAAATTTCGCTCGGGTCATCAACGACCCAAATTACAGACTGGGGGGACCTGGCATTGTAAAAAGTTAAAACGTACGTTTAGGGTGACAGGGGTATTCGCGCAAATCGCAACGCGTCCCTGTCGTATCTGATAATCGTAGATCTCCTTAAATTGCAATAGAACGCGAAGCGTGTCCCAGAGATTTCGTTGCTCGCAAAATGGTACGTGTAATCTCATCGCGCGTAAAATGTATGGAGATAGGGGAGGGGGCTAGAGGGGAAACAAAACCCGATTACAATTCCACGCTACCGTATTTCAACGATTTGAAACGGTCTGTCTGGCGCGAAAAATTGTGATCGTCGATATTTCGTAAACAAACAACGCATTGGTAATGATAAAACTATCATTGAACAACTGACGTTGATATTTCAGGGGTGTAATTACCCTAACCACCCAAAAGAGGACCAATTTTTGGACATTTTGTTACATGAAATGGGTGCAATGTAGAAAGCTTAGATTTTAATAGATAATTATCAGACTGCAGATTTTACGCATGTATAACGTACAATAATATAGAAAATTTACATGAAATACACATATAAAATGTTGAATATATGCTAGAATATTTAGCATGTATTTATTGTGTTAGTTTATATAATAAATGCATAAAATCTGCAGTCAAATAATTACACACAGTTTGACTTATATCTTTGTACGTACTTGTGTTGAAAAATGTTGTATCGAAAACAAAAAGTTGTTAAAACTGATATTTTTTTTAAATTTATGTAGCGAACATAAACATTTCTCTCAGCCCATTTCTCGAGGACGTATATATATATATATATTATTAGCCCAGATTTATTAGCAAGTTGTTCTATATATTGCTCTTCCTCTAACAGTATTATGCGTCGTTTTTATTTAAATAGTAAATACTATTAAGTACCAAGTGAAATTTCATTCTTTCAACCCTACTATTATTCGTTAATTGTAAGAATTAATAAGACAGCGTAAAAAAGAGATAGGTTAAAAGTAAATGAGAATTTTAACTTCATAACTTGTTCAAATATTCTCACCAAGAACTTTTGAGCGAAAATTAAAAGTTTTCCGCGTAGACACGATTGCTCGATGTAATGACATGAAACCGCAACCTTTAAAGTGGACTTTATGTCCTGGAGATACTGCGACTATCTTCGATGTTTCACGGTTTCGCCTTTAACCGCGCCTTTAACAGCGCTTACGTATCCCTAAAGAGTCGCACAACTTCGTGAAACCTCAATATAATCGAAATACTAACTCTAACGGACAATTCTGTTCGGGAAACTCGAAAACAACAACGTAAACTCGAGAAAGAAATGTCAAGGTATTTAACCCTTTCGATGCTAGCCAGACTATCGATTGTGAAACATCTTACAGGAAAAAAGTTTCCATACTAAATTTTGGCATTTCTTTCAATTGCAGTGTTCTTAACAAACAGTTCGACTTTATTTTTACTACTTATTAATGTTTTTCGATACGGTGTACATGGCATTTAAATAGTATCTTGGTCAGAAAGTTGAAATTTAAATATGTTATAGAAAAAATGTTTATCTAAATTATGAAATAACATCAGCATAAAATGTCGGATGTTTTCATTTTTAACTGACTTATAAAAAAGAAGGGTACTTCTAACCTGACAAGGGGAGGACTCTAACACGAAAATTGTTATTCAAATAAAAATTTGTGTGAATATTGATCACTCAGAACAAATGAAGTCTACCCAATTTTTCCAATTTCCTTTTTTTTAGCATAACTTTGTAAAGCTATGACTGTAAACATTGGTCAAAATTAATTCTTGTGCATCATTCACAAACAAATTAACATTTCTTCCATGTAACATATAAAATTCTAACTACAAACAACAGAAGTAATTATCTTGTACAGAAAAAATTTCATTTTGAATAATCTCATTAAATGTAAAAGAATGTAATTTTTGTTTACGTCTAACTTAAAAAGAAAAAAAAAACTAAAAAATATATATATATTTTCCATATTTATACTCATATTTTCACGTTAACCCGTGATAAATTGTTTCAGCTGAATAAACCCCTCCAGGATTACGTGGATCGCAGTTGAGAAACACTGATCTAGAAAATGGTCGGTCCTTCGTGGTCAACGGAGTGTCGCGAACCGTTTCGGAATGCTCGACAAAACCGCGACGGGACGAATGAAAAGCGAGTCCCTTCGATTTTACCGTTCTGCTCGGTGAAGCGACAACAGAGCGCAGAGTGAGAACGAGCAAATGATATTTTCAGGTTAGCCTCGTTATCGAGAAACAATAGGTGTCGAGGTCAACGCTCAACGTTGACCGGACTTCCGACATTTCTCGAGAAATTTCGGTACCGACGTCAATTTCGCCTATTTCCGACCGATTCCACGCCCGACCGTAAGTTTTCAGAGATAGAACTCCATTTGTCGCGATAAACGCGATCTTTTTTTTCACTGCACACGTAAACACTTGTTCGATGAAATTGCACGATTCCTCCAAAGTGAATAAAAATAATATCGTAAGCCAATCGAATCTATACTTCTGTGTCTTGCTTTTGAAGATAATTTATACCGAATGAATAGAAAATAGTTACCATCAACTTCGCATCACCTTTAAGGCTCTAAGAACAAATTGAATTCGCACGCAACCAGAATTTTCAAACGTGACTTGAGAATTTAACTGCACTGCTCTAAGGACTGATCCGCACTGTATAAAACTGCGTTGTTGCTACTAACTTTTTATGGCCATTCGTGTCGAACTCATGCTGCATTGGCATGGCTGTAAACACGGCAGAATTCGATAACGTTTCTTTTACGATGGAAAAGCGCCTGTGTCTCGAAATCGAACCGTTGTTTACGCGTGACGGTTTTTAGAAAAGTTCAATTTATTTGAAAATTTATGGATGCCGTAATACTTCTCTAAAGCACTTCGAGTTATCTGTTATAGAAGACAAAATAATATTTGAAAGAGAATAAAAAGTTTATTGCAATGAAGGTGGCGCATAGTAGTCTTCGTCTTTAGTCTTGAATAATTATTTAGAGAATCTAAAAATTTCTAGTTCAACTACTTCGTGATCTTCATGAGTATTGGTATACATATACAGCGATGCTTTTGCTACATTCTCCCTTTTACATGATTATTAAATCGAACTAAACCGAATTGGTCTAATCGCACGCCCCCGTTCGATAGTGTTTTGTTTTAGAACATTATTGTACGCATGGATGTGTTGACCCTGTGATTGATTGATTTGTGCATATACATGTAGTTCATTTCTATATTCAGTTGAATAGGACGAAATATTTTTCATGTACACCCAATATGTTTAAGGTGTTTCTTGAACCTCTTTGTTTCTACTATTAAATGTTAAGTGTTTAGTTCAAATAATATTCTATTCTTTTTAACTTTAGTGAACACTATCGTTCTTGTTTTAATCAAAGAAGATTCATTAGTGTTATTTTACCTAGATAAATAATCTAAATATAATGTGTACTTAGCCCTTTATTATACTTTAACCCTTGTATTAATCAAACGCTTTGAAACCTATTGTGACTTTCGTTTTTAATCGTTGAATGCCAGCACAAGCTTTTGTCCTTTTGGAAGCTTGTTAGAGACAACTCTATAAGATGATTTAAAACCAAGATGGGCCCCTAAATTTTAAAAGCTTCTGAGAAATTCAGTAAATAAAGGGTTAAAGAACAATTTTAATAACAAAAACTAGGAATAAAACATTTTTTTTTTGTACAGATTTAACGTCGCGTTTACAACAAAAATTGTTACTTATCTTTTTGTATGAGCGTTGTATTTCTGCTTATCTTTTCGGATCAGTATTAACATTTTCTTCCCAGACCCAGCCCTCCAATCCAACTACTTATCGAGAAGCATAGCAACGAATGTAAGAAATAGTACAAAATTCGAAATTTGTCCGTGCAAGCAGCTTACAATGAGTCGAACTTGGTATCGTGATATCGTAAAAGTTAACAGAAACAAAGATCGTGCTATCAACAAGAAAAATAGTAATCGACAAACGTCGTCACACAGAAGAGTTTCATTCGTGGTTGCCAAACGACGAAAATAACAATCATAAAATTTTCGTCCCGATAGTAAAAAATTCTTTGCTATTCTATAACTAAATATTCCTTCTGCAATAGCTACAATAGAATGTAACAACTACGACAGCGTCAAAATATGTATTTATGTTTCGTTGATACGTAAACATATTTCACTCAATGCAGTGTTTAAGATAGCACTACGATGGTATTGGTTTAACGATGTTTTAAAATATATACCTATATTACCAAGAAACAGAGAAATTATGTGACACTGATAGGGAACAACAGCCGGTGATAATCGAATTCCTTTGGTAACGCGTTTCCGTCAATCGACCGTAATTATACACTGCTATTGCGTACCACGAAGATATACTAATGTGGGCTTCGTGCTCTGTTTAGATAAGTATACAAGCTTCGATTCTATGTCACGCAAATGGTCGATACGAGTTGGTGATAAGGGTTGTCCTGTTATACTACACTCGGAAACGGATCACTGTGAAAGGTGTCCATTGGAGTGGTACGTCGATTAGTGAGACAAGCAACGAGCAGCTAGTATGAACGTCTTGGCATCCTTGAGTTTTTTAATGCTAACAGCTGTTGGTCAGTGTTTGGAGCGTGAACAAACAGCAATTATAAACACAACTTTGGGACCTGTTCAGGGTTCGATAAAGCAAACTGTATGGAACAATGTTAAATACTCTTCGTTCAAAGGAATTCGTTATGCGGCACCACCGGTTGGAAACCTCAGGTTCCAAGTGAGCACGTAAACGTTATTTGAATCAATGTTTCGAGTCTCATAACGACTTCTATATCGCGTAATTTCGTTTATTACCGAAAAACGCGAGAAATGATAATCGTTGAACAATGATAGGCTAATAGAGTGTCTCGTTACCTCAATTGATAGCAGACTGATTTCAAAAAAACCCAGGAACACATTAATTGCAAAATTAGAGACACCCACTACGATACGTGTTAAAAATAAATGAAGTTTAAATCAAGCATAAAAATAAAAAGGAAGAGCATTGAAGTGTATTTTGTAGGGAGCCTAAAATTCTCTTTTAAATGGTATATAACATTTTGCCAAAATATTCTATTTAATTTGAAGAAAACTGCTACGAGTTATAAGACAATCTTATAACCCAGACTTAACTCAAGAGTGTCCACAGATAGAAACTTGTGAATCAATGAAAATCTAACAGAATGTAATATTCAATTTGTAATTATTAATATTTTATAGAATTTAAATCAAGTACAAGAACCAAAAAGAAAAATGTAAAACACAAAAATCCTTTTACAAATGGTATTTAATATTTTGCCAAAATATTCTATTTAATTTGAAGAAAACTGCTACGAGTTATAAGACAATCTTATAACCAGACGTAACTCAGAAGTGTCTACAGATAGAAACTTCTAAATAAATGAAAATCTAGTAGAATGTAATATTCGATTTATATTTAATATTCGATAGAATTTAAATCCAGCATAAAAACCGAAAAGAAGAACGTAGAACACCAAAATTCTTTTGTAAATGGAATTTAACATATTCTATTCTTCCTGAAAAATGTTAATTTAAAGAAAACCAACCACGACCTATAGAGCAAACCTATACTTCTAAAATTTTTACTAAAAATCTAACAACTGCCTTTAAACCTGTCACCGCAGCCTCCTCGACCACCACAACCATGGACCAAGGTACTGAACGCTACCAAAGAAGGTAGCGTGTGTCCTCAAATAGACGGTTTCTCGACCGAGTACATGGGAGACGAAGACTGCCTGCATCTAAGCGTATTCACTCCCGAGGTGAGGGAGAACGGTTACCATAACATTGTTTCCCACTAAAGTGCGAAACGTACACGTTAAATTCGGAATGCCGGTAACGCAGTTGCTTCTCCCTGTTCCCTGTAGACGAATTTCGACACGGGAATGACCTTACGGCCCGTTATGATCTGGATTTTCGGTGGTTCCTACACCACTGGCTACGTTAACACGACGCTCTACGGACCTGACTTCCTCATGGAGCAAGATGTTGTTGTTGTCAGCGTTAACTATCGGCTGGGCGCTTTAGGTACAGTCATCTTTATGTAGAAACTGCACTTCGAAACTCGTACCATGTAAACGTGCCTAGGTAATCAAATATCTCAAGCAATCGGACATTTCAGGATTCCTGTATCTGAATAATACAAAAGTGTTGGGCAACGCTGCTATGAAGGATCAAGTTTTAGGGATGCGATGGGTGCAGGACAACATCGCCGCATTTGGAGGCGATAAAACCAAGGTGACGGTAGCTGGACAAAGTGCCGGCTGCGCTGCTGTGTTACTTCATCATTTGTCCGATAAGTCGAAAGGTATCCTGCCAGCTGCTACCATTTATGTTGTCTTTTTTTCTATTTTATTCTATCGCCTTGTAAATATGCGTAAATTTACATTTTATATTTTTTACTTTAAAAGTCCATTTATTACAGGCATCTTAACTGCAGTGTTTAACTCTTACGGAAATGTAGAATAAAATTTTTTCGTATGACGCTTTATTTTCGAAATAAATAAGTTCAAAAATTTGTCGAGTACGCGTGTACTTCATATACCTTCAGTTCGACGGATTTTACTATCTTACTGTTCCGAGTAGGAGCAACATAATGATATCTCTTACATCGATTTTACTTTCTTCTTATGCTTATGATCTGCAATGAAATCCGTCGAGCTGAAGCTGGTCCGAGTCCACGCGTACTTGTCAAATTTTCAAACTTATTTTTTTTTTAAAATAAAGCGTCGTATAAAAAAACTGTATTCTACAATTTCGATTCAATTTTTTCTATTCGTCATGTGCGGCATTATTTATACGTGACATTTTTCTTAACAGATCTATTCACCCGTTCGATATGTCACAGTGGAACGCCATTGGTTTTGTTGTTTTCTACTCCAGTCAGTGCACTCAAGTCTGCTCATCGACTAGCTGCTGCCCTAGGTGTTGACAATAAAGACACAAATCAAATATATCGAGAGCTCGTTAATATTCCTGCTATGAAACTCGTACTCGCGACATCCTCCTTCAAAGGGTTGTCACTATCTGTGAGTCAAACTGTTTGTCAACATCTAGTATAATGCTGTTAACACGTGTCGTCTTTAATTCCGCAATGATATCTACTTTATACAGTGGGTGTAGAAAGTATTCGTACACCGATCAATTTCCAAAAAAACTATGTAAAATTGTAATTTATTAACTTATTTTTTATAAACAATGACATTCTACATATTCTCGAAAATCTCTAGAATAGATAGATTACAAAAAAAAAAATAGCTATTTATGTAAGTTACGAAATTAACAAGAAAAATACAATTAATCGATAGAGATGTTGGAGCAATAAGTATTCGCACAACTGTTTAAAAGTACTTTACTGGAAATTTGATGTTTTCTAATTCGTACGGAGCAATAAACTAATATGTTTACGTTACAAAATCTACTGTAAATGGTTCGTCATAAGAATCGTCCAAATACTTATTGCTTCTATACTTTTACCCACTTTTCGCATTCTTTTTGTTAATTTCACTAATTATATTAACTAGTAAATGTTGTTTGGACTATATCTATCTTAGAGACTTTCGAGAATATGTAAAATATCATTGATGTTGAAAAAAAAGTTAAGAAACTACAATTTCACACAAAAGCTTTTTGGGAAATTGATCATTTTGCAATGAAATAATTAAAATTACTACATTTTCAGGACTTGTTACCATTTAGGCCAACCATTGAGAACCCTGCGAATGCTTCTCCGCAGAACACATTCTTGTCGGAGTGTCCTATAACGTTGGTTATGACAGGCAAGTTCAAGAAGTGCGAAAAAATATTTGGATATATGGCTAACGAAGCCCTTGAGTTTACCGATAGTAAGATATAAATGTTACTGTGTATGTTTGACTAATTTTTAATGCATCGATCGCCAGAATATTACCATTTTTACTATTATCACTCGCTATTATTTAAATTGTAATTATTACTAAATTACATATATAGAAATTACTATTATTACTTATTTATATAGTAGTTTAAACTATCCTTTAACTAACTCTAGTGGTAAGAATTAAGGTCTAAGGACTTATCAATACTGGTCCAGTGAGTCGTATTTCTTTCTTGATCTATTACTATATTTTGTAATGCGATCGATGCATTTTCGAAAATTCTCCACGTTACACTAACTACACTTCACATTTATTTGTTTTAGAACTCTTTAGTATGGCAAATCAAACTATGGTGTTTCGTGAATTGAACTACAAACTCATTGGAAAGACAGCACAGGTAACTTTCTAAACACAGTATCTAAACAAAATATGTACCACCGATTACAAAGTGGAATAAGGATCTACAGTGGGTGCTGAAATTATTCGTCCACCAATTTCCAAGAAACTATGTGAAATTGTAATTTATTAACTTCTTTTTTATAAACAATTATATTCTACATATTCTTGGAAATCTCTAGAATAGATACAGTATAAAAAAAAATTGTTTATTTATACAAGTTGCGAAATTAACAAGAAAAAACAATAAATCGATAGAAATATAAAAGCAATAAGTATTCGTACAATTGTTAAGTTTTTAAAACTTCATACAAAGAAAACGAAATTTACATTAATTTATAAACAATTAATACTTCGTGGGATTTCTATTCTAGAGATTTCCGAGAATATTTAGAATATCATTGATTATAAAAAAAGAAGTTAATAGACTACAATTTCACACGAAAGTTTTTTGGAAAATTTATCGGTATACGAATACACACTACACCCACTGTATAAAATTTAACATTTGTCGTGATACTTATTTTGTTGACGTGGTGTTTAATCAATGTGTTAACAGAAAATTGGCTTAGATCTACCTCGATCTCTTAAACATTCGATTGTTTAGTATTTTATATATTATGATGGTTATAACTCCTGTTCGCAGTTTTTGACAACCGTCGTCGCAATCCCAGCAGTCGACTACACCCAAAGGCTCCTGGAAGCAAACAACGACGGTTATCCCATTTATTATTATGTAAATTCATACACGTCGAATTATTCTATTCACAGAGCCTTCGGAATTCCAATAGAAGGTAATTCAAATGCGTTTTCACTGTAAAAGTAATACTTCCTCTTCAGCATGTTCTAAGGAATACTAAGATTTCTCAACATACATAACATGAGTGAGTGAATGGTACAAATATTATGTGTAGAAATTAATTTTGTGCCTTTATATTCGTCCATTTTTTACTTTAGTTTAAGTACTCTAGTAGTTGTTACTCTAGCAGTAGTTGGTACTCTAGTTTAAGTACAATTTACGACAATCTTCGCAATGTCAAGTCACATAACGTGAGAGACACTATTTATTATAAAGGTACGTTTTTCTAGGTGCTGCCCATATGGACGATGTCGGATTTCTCTGGAACGCAGACGCAATGAACGCCCCTACTGATCCAAATGCTCCATTAAACCAGTTTCGACGTAAATACGTCACTTTGTGGGCGAACTTTGTCAAATATGGGTACGTCGATACTTTTCCTTTTCTCTATTAAAGTCCTTTTTTTATTAGGTTAGATATTTAACCCCCTCCCCTTTTTTTTTTTAATTCAGACACATAATCGCAACTGAAGTTTAGTTCTCCAACCGTAGTTTATTATTGTTAGAGTCTGGATATTTACATATTTATGAGAAGTATAAGTACACAAAAATATAGAGTGATGTGTAGAAATGCATAAATGTAGGATTCTTCTCTTTAATGCGGATAAGGAGATGAAAATAAAGAAACAGATACTACACAAATGCATAAAATATTATAAATACACGTACAATACACGTTAAAACATTTAGAAGACAAAAGACATTTCAATGTACATTTCTGTCCTTATTCCGTGTATAATATAAAATATGAGTTTGCGTAAACATCCGCAATCTAATAATTATAGATCATTCTTCGCAACCTTCAACCACTTACAATTTGTGTTGCGTTTGCAGAAATCCAACACCGATCACCAATAACCCCATCGGTGGAGTAGTTTGGCAGCCGTCTGGAAGACGCGGTGTGCAGCTCGAGATCAATGATAAGTTCAGAATGGTTCCCCGTTCGATACCCCTTGCATCTTTGGCCATAGAGACATTTTTGTATGCCGCGAAGCCAGTTGCAAGTTGCTGCCATAACATTTCATACGATGTTCCTTATACCAGCATTTTTCCTTGATTTGATAGTCTTTATTCCAGCAATTAAATAAGCTGTCGAAGTGGCACACTTAAACAGAGTTATGGAAAATTCTTCTTTATTGCTTAAATATCTATTTCGTGGTTTGACTGAAGAAAAATTGTATTTGTTGGTATCTGAACAATTGTATTGTACCATAATGCTTTTACGATGTAGAATCATTTTTATTATGGTTGAAAGTCATTTGAGGTTTGAAACTCTAACTGATTAAGCTCTTGGAATATCACTTGTCCCGCATTTGTAGGGATGGAAATTAAATCACCTCGCCTATTCATAATATTAATATGTTAATACTGTTGTAATGCTATTACTTGTATATTGTAATGCTATTATTGCATATTCGTATTATATGTATACATGTATTGTATATCTAATGTTTGTAATGTTATTATTGCACATTTTTGTAATTATATTCAATATTAACCCTTTGAATACAAAGAGCGTATATATGTATACACCCTCGAGAAATGAACTCAGAGAAATGTTTGTATTCGTTAAATAAATTTTGAAAAAATTTCAGCTTATAGGAGATGATGGGATGAAACTTTTTCATATTTACAGTTTATTCATAGGGTGCTTAGTTTCGAAAATAAAAATTGAAAAGTTCGTTGGAGAAGTGGAATGTCAGGAAAAAGATCTTCTAAGTTTTAAATTTTTATCTTTGAAATTGAACATCGTATGAATAACTGTATATATAAAAAAGTTTCGTTTTGTCATTCTTTATGAGAGGATATTTCTTAAAAATTCGATTGTTCGACTGTTGTTGTTTTGTTTTCTTTAATGCAACAGCGACAGGATGAGACCACTGCAAGGTCTCACGAAAAAGGTCTGTTAAGTTTTTAATTTTTATTTCCGCAATTAAACGTCCTATGAATAAACTGTAAATGTAAAAAAGTTTCGTCTTATCATATCCTATAAGCTGATATTTTGTTTAATATTCACACCTCTACGCCTCTCAGAATTTCCAGCAAAAGTCGTCTCGGATGAACATTACCAATAGAAGAAAATTATTTTTTTGTTGCTTCTGCATAAATACTACAGTAACAAAAAGAAATCATTAACTGTGAGAATTCAAATCAAAATATACAAATTTTTACATTTTTTAACACGTCAATACGAATGCAACATCGCTTCCATAGTTATCCACCTAACACCAGTAGGTTTTAAATTTTCCAAGGGAGTAATAAAATGAAATTTTATTGAGAAATTTTATTAAGAGATGAATGAGATGAATGAGATTTCTTTGGTCGTGGGTGACCGGAGTCCGATAGAGGTGATCGCCTCCCAGAAGCTCCGAGTTTCTTTCCACTTTTCAACTTCATTACTTTGTTTCCTCAACACACATGGATTTCACTATCATTATTTCACGTCCTTGTCGCGACACATTACGCTTATAATATGCCCTGACCCAGATCCTTTATTGCGCCGTTCACGTGTGAAAATATTAGATCTGTCGAGAGTACGACGAAATGAACCGTGAACGTAATAAATTGAAGATTTGATTTTCGCAACCACCGTTTTCCGTGAAACTGGAGTAATTTTCAGGCGTATCGTTGATATCGTTAGCAACGGAATCCATAAAACTGCAGGAGAAGTACTTTCTGTAGAACAAGATTTCTTACTGAAACTTTATCCTATTGCGATCTCGTTTATGAAAAATGGGATAGCTAGATTGCCCTGGAAGAGGGTGAAAAATTTAACCAGAATAATGTCCTGTGACTCCATTCACATGCACCAAACCATTTCTCCGCGTTTCTTGTACAAATTTTTCTCATTTTTTTTAAAATTCTACTCTTTTTCTGCGGCGGTTATCTATTAAACGTCGCTGTTACAATCGAAAGAATTTAAAAATTATTTCTTTTCTTACGCGATAAGGACAATTATATTCGATCGTCATCGCAAGCAGTTTAATTAAGACGTTTGAACGTGTTGTATCTCCAATTCTCCCAAAAATAAAACCTAACAGTAACATAAATTACGTGAAAATTATTATAAGTGAAACTAAGAAAGGGATATTAGGTGCTTTCATTGTATTTATTAAATAGTGTTTATTATTATTAGTAATTTTTTAGATGCCTGAATAAATAAGTGCACATAGATGTATGTATCATGAGTTAAATTGTTCTTCTTCCTATCTACAAACATATTATAATTGAATATTTCTAACATTTCATTGAAAAATTGATTGAAAAGTACATGGCACAGTACAGGAATAAATTCATTCATTCGAGACGATCGCCGAAGCTTCTGAAATTAGGTTGATATTGCATCGCTTCGTCGGGCAATCCTGTTAAGTAACAGGAAAGCGACGAGCGAGTTCCCGTAAAATCTGCAAATAATTTGAAGAGTGCAATCAGACAAACTAATAACAGCCGATGGAAACGATAACGAGCACTTTTGTGAATTATCCTATGTCTATATATTCATTACGCGTGCACTCATTGTCTGGTATTTATTATTCCTCTCTCATTATCACTTTTCGCATTTTTCTCGGAGCACACCTTCTCACGTCGCAGTATTTGAACGAATTTATTTGACTGAAAGACATTGGTAATTGAGCCGTTCACTGGACAAATCGATTAACTCCACTTGTTGAAAAATCTTAAATTTAAGCGTCAAAACACTCGGTATAGTCGTAACTTATTATATTTATAATAACTTTCCTGAATAATAAAGATTAACACCATTAAACGATAAAATTTGTTTGGCCATTCAATAATAAATAATTTATTTCAGAGGCAATTTCATCGCATTTCTCAACTTCTTGTTTTATGGAGTAAATCGATTTGTGCAATGAACGGCTCAATTAATAATCGTGAGTCTTCCTTGGTTATTCAAAATGAAATCAGATGTATTTGCTTCTTTTTTCGGTCTTCTTCAGTGGTAAAAAATATTTATCTAACAATTACATATCTACAAAGCACTTAAAAAATGTAAGTAAGAGGAAACGTAACATATGATTATTTTTTAACAAATAACTTACATTATGCTTACATATACTACAGAAGAAGAAGAAGAAGTAGTAGTAGTAGAAGAAGTAATTGAAGTAAATATTGAAGTAGTTATAAAATATAAACTATACACGTCTATTACTTCATAAGCTATTACAGTTTTCTAGAGCTTGTGAATTAATGAAACAAGTAACCAATTTTGCGGTAAATAACAATTAAATCGCAAAGCAGAATTGAAAACTGAGAATTGAGAATTGAAGAATTGAGCAAATACGAATCCCAGACAATATCTACGTTAGCGATCGTAATGCAAATTCTTCATTAAGAAACTTTTCGTTTCTTAAATGATATAGAAAGTAGTTCACGTCTGCGCATCGATTATCGACGTCCTCAGAAATTATAACTTCGGTTAATTCGAACGAGCCGAGATTCCAGAAGCGATTTAATTACGGCGAAAAGTTCCAGAAGCTGACAGACACGTAATTTGTAAGATAATAGAAAAGTCGCAGATGAAAGGGGGCAGATCCGATGAGATCTTGCTAATACCAAGAAAAAGAAATAAAAAGAGACATATTCGGTATAAAAAGAAATAATTAAATCCATTCGAAGCTATCAGAAGCTGATTAATTTCTGAAGAAATTCTCGGATTGTACGCCGGAAAGAGGATCGTGATTTTTTATATCGCGCCGATTTAATATTGTGTATTCTTCCATATTGTTGTTTTTCTTACGCTTTTAACGCAAATTTGATTAGACTTTACAGAACACAATATTGTAGACTATTATATGTCAAGTTTGTTATGATTGGTAAGTGAAGATGATTGAAATGAAATCCCATTCTAAAAATTATGTTATTATCTTCTCCACAAAATTAATTATAAATCTTTTCTATAATTATGGTGCTCAAAACATTTAAAAGTTTTCTTAAATTAAATCTTTTCTAATATCTTCTCAGAAATCTCTAGATTACCCTTTATATTATTATTTATTGATTGGAGTGGATAAATTAACCAACATATATTATAATTGCTCACAAGAGAAAATACATTTTACTCTAACAAAAAGTTGATTCATCAACAAAGAAATAACAATACACTAGAGAATATTAAATTTGAAACGGTTAATATATTTTCTTATAAGTAATGGTTTAGTTAATAGCCTTGATATTAATGGTGAAAACTGGATACGTCTATGTGGATAATTTCGATAGCCTTAACACCAGCAAACAGTGAACGAGACTGGCGCACTAATTAATCAAATACCGGGTCCAAGCGCGCGATTAATTCTCGAAACGTTAAACTTAGAAACGATTCATCAGCCAGCCAGCGACGATACTCGCGTTTAAACAGATCCAATATTCAGAGTTCCGCCATGAACCGAAAATTCAAATGTCTACGTGTTAGGTGGACACTAGAAATGATTCAGAAGGTTGTATAAATGATTGATTCGAAGGAACATATAATATAGAACACACGTTTTCGACGAGATCACGTTTCACGACGTTTCAGAATGGGTTCCGTCTTTTTTAATGAATCATTTTCCCAAACATAGATAAACATAAAATATGACCAAGAAAATTTACCAATAAATTTCTTTTAGATTTATTTGAAAGTATATTCAATACATTGTATCGCTGTTTAACCGTTTTATCTTAAGATCGATATTTTAGAGGGATAGGATATTGAGTTTTTCAAACATTTTCCTACAAATTTCTTTTAGATCTCTCTGAAAATACAGATACGTACCATATCGTGTACCGATTAACCTTCGTATCTTTAATTTTGAATATCGTAATGAGTAAATATTAAGTTTTTCAAATATAAATTACATTACATACAATATAAAACATATTTAAAGACTTATCGTAGGTAAACAAATGTTTCAAAGGTCTGCATAACTATTTGCAGGAGAACCTCTGATAAACAAATAACCGGTTGCTGCCGATTTAAAAATAGTTCCATCCAAGAACAGAAGAAGTCATCCTGAGAATTGAAACGACTTTTGTCATAAGTTGTCTTCAAACAATACACTTTCATCCTCGAACTTTCTGCAGAACAACAGAAACAACAAAGTCATTTGCTATTCTAGCCTTAGAGGGCAGACTATATAAACGTATCTCGCAGAAGCTCATTACAGCAGTGTGCCGGGACTTTCGGAGGGATGATAATCTTTACCTTAATTGAATGGCGAGCGAGGAAACAATGATTTAAGTGGCTGTAAAGCACCCTGCTTTAATGGAAAATGGAGAGTATCGTTATGTATCGTAACGAAGTATCAAGTAGACGAGAGCCAAGCTGAAAGTGCAACAGTGCTGCAACTGGAAAAAGAAGAAGACAAGAGAAACGTGAAAGTGAATAATCCAAAAGGGTGAGTCGAAGAATAGCGTAACAGGGATAAAAGAAAATTACATTGCAGAGACGAGAAGAACGCGAGGGTATAGGTTTCTTCGATGATAAAACTGAGATATTAGGGACGTTCATTGACTCTTAGTATA